ACCAAATTTTTTTCAAGGTAATTTCACATTTTTGGCCTTAAATGATGGGTTGCAGATGGTTTTTATTTCATTCATATTTCAGCTATTTTTGGCCTAAAGTGTGATTCCCAACATATCCCAGTTTACTGAATAATCCTATCTAGGTTCTACATAAATAATAATTGTAAATTCTTCAAGTAAAACTGTGGGGCAAAATCCTAAACAGACAATTAGACATTGAATTGCAATTTCTGCAATAAGCACAAGGTGACAGTATATGTCTAACAGACCTACTTCAAAGACCTAACTCAAAACAGATCAGGAGGCAGTGTTACAAGTGTCAGAAGTCAATTGTTCATTATAACTAGAAACATATGGTGAATTAGGGCAACTGAAAAACAGAAACCCTGATCGTAAAGACGGATCCACTCACATTTAAAAAGATAGAATAATAGAGCAAAATGTTTTACTAATAGATTTCTTTAACTCCTTAGTGACCAGGCAGTTTTTCAATTTTCTTACCTTTAGGGACCAGGGCTGTTTTTACATTTCTGCAGTGTTTGTGTTTAACTGTAAGTTTCCTCTTACTCATTTACTGTACCCACATATATTATATACTGTTTTTCTAGCCATTAAATGGTCGTTCTAAAGATACCATTATTTTCATCATTTCATATAATTTACTATAAAAACATTTCTAAAATATGATTACATTTTTAAAAAAACAAACTTTTGACCCCCCCCCCCATATTTGTTACATATCTACAACCGCCAAAAAAACACCTGTGTTAAATAGTTTCTAAATTTTGTCCTGAGTTTAGAAATAAATCCAATGTTAACATGTTCTTAGCTTTTTTTTGGAAAGTTATAGGGCTATAAGTACAAGTAGCACTTTGCCATTTCCAAACCATTTTTTTTGAAAATTAAGGTTACATTGTAACACTGATATCTGTCAGGAATGCCTGAATAACCCTTCACATGTATATATTTTTTAAAAGAAGACAGTATTAAACTTGGGGTACTTTGACTCTTTTCATGCAACCATTTTACCATCAATCTATGCCAAATTTTAAAAAAATAATAATAATTGGTGAGGTTTTTTTGACATAGCAATTTAAGAATACATGTACAGAGAACTTTAAGGGTTACTGCCAAAGAACACCCCAATATGTGTTCAGCAACATCTCCTGAGTACAGTAATACCCCTCATGTATAGGTGTGTTGGGTTCTCTGAGAGCTAAAAGACCTTATTTGGAGGGTGCGCATTCTGGTTTTCCAACTTGGAATTTGCGCAGTTGGTCATCATGCACCCATGTCCTATTTAGGACATTTTTGAAGCCGGACAGTGTAATTTATCCCCATAAAACCACATATTATTTTTAAAAAGTAGACATACTAGAGTATTTCAAATGGTGGTATTTTAACACTTTCCATGCACTTTGTCAAACTTTTGGGTAGTCATTTTTTTAATGTTATTTAGGCATGGATTCTCAGTTTCTGTTATGTGTTACTGACAAAAAAAACACCCCAATATGTGTTCAGCAATATCTCCTGAGTACAACAGTGCCCCCAATGTACAGGTTTTATGGTGTTTTGGAAAGTTACAGGGTCAATATAGGGCTTGCCCGATTCAGTTTGCCAGATTGGTTTGCTGGGTCTGTGTTGACTTTTGAGACCATATGGTAGCCCAGGAATGTGAAATGACCCCATCATGGCATACCATTTTCAAACAT